AAAAAAAAAAAAAAAAAGAAAAGAATGAATTGTATGCCACTACATTCGTATGCAAAGAATTTTAAGGTAGTTTTCCTCTAATTGGGATTAAATATTACAGCTGATCCCTGAACAACACAGGTTTGACCTGGTAGGTCCACTTACACTAGGGTTTTTTTTGCTGTGACTATTGTGATGAACTCCAATGTTGAACAGTTCGTCTCTCCATGAATTTTAAGTAGACACTCGAAACATATGAGCTCACGACACTAGCATAGTTTAAACTCGTGTTGTTTAAGAGTGAGCTGTAAATCACGCGCAGTTTTCTGCTGGCACAGGAGGTTTAGCACCCCTAACTCCCACGTTGTTCAAGGGTCTAATGTATTTCTAGTTTTCCAAGATTATGAATAATGTTGTTACACATAACTTTGTATAAACGTTTGCATGTCTCCTATAATTTCCTTACAATAAAAGGCTAAAAGGAAATTAGGCTTTTAAAGTTTCACTGTCTAGTATGAGAAGGCGTCAAAAAGTTCGTGAAAGACTTTCATTACCTTTCAAATCCATTTTTTCATGAACTTTTTCAAGCTCCCTCATATGGTACCCACTAGCCACATACAAGTACTTAAATTTAAATTAATAAAAATAAAATACAGAAAATTTAGTTCCTAAGCTATATTAGACACAATTCAAGTGCTCAACTTGATTGGCTATAGTGCTGGGCAGGACAGACAGAACATTGTCAGTGTTGAGGAAGGGTCTATTGATAACCCAGGTTAAAAGAAATGTGCTTATAAACATTTGATATTTGTATCCCATACTAATGTTGTAACTCTTCAAACTCAGACTATTCTAAGTAAATTCCTATGTTATCCTTTTGTCACCATCAACATTGCTGATCTGACACATGGAACCATTTTTGAGACATAATACTTTAATTTGCATTTAAATTCTTTTCACACTTTTTGGCCACTTGTGTTTCATTTCTTTGTTGAACTAGCAGAACTTTATTTTCCAAGAATCAACCTTAATGGTATCCTATACATCAACTATAAACCAATATATGCTGTTGTTGTTAAGTGCCGTCGAGTCGGTTCCGACCCATAGCGACCCTGTACAGGGTTTCCGAGGGTGTAAATCTTTACGGGAGTAGAAAGCCTCATCTTTCTCCCACGGAGCGGCTGGTAGTTTCGAACCGCTGACCTTAAGGTTTGCAGCCCGATTCGTAACCACTATGCTACCAGAGCTCCTTCAAACCAATATATAAGCTGAACTATTTATGTAGTTGCAGGAAAGCTAATTTATTATGGCTTTTCCAGCCAGTATTCTTCCATTTTGTAATGTGTCGTAGTAACTTCTAGCCTTTATGCCTGTGATTATGGACCCATCATGAAGTGAGATATTAATGAGGCAGGATTAAGGTGGGACTAAGGATTGAGGCAGAATCCTGGTGTGGCCCTGGAAGATAAGCACTCTACCCCAAGGTCAGTGGTTCAAACTCACCAGTGGCTCCTTGGAAACTCCACACAGGGTTTCTATGAGTCAGAACTGACTCCAGGGCCCTCAGCAAGAAAGATTAAGGTGGAGTTTAGGAGTGACTACAGGGTGTGTGACTCAAGTCACTACGGGGACACAGTACACAATAATACTTTGGCAAAGCTTGCTCTCTTGTTCTGGCTCATGTCCGTCTGACCTTCAGTCCATGGGATTTATCACCTGATCTGATTCACCAGCTCCCAAAGCCCTGTGTAACAACAGCCTGTCATCTGACCTGCTGTTTGGGTTCCTTAGCTCCTGAGACTATGCGGGTGAGGAAAATGCTCCAAAGTAACCTTTGAACTACAAATTTGGGGCTTGCCAGCCTCCTCAATCGCATGAGCCATTTCCTTGACAGTCTGAGTTCTGAGAGATGTTGCAGTGTACTGCAGAACCCTGGTATCATGAATTATGGGTTTTATAACGTATTGGTCCAAACTTACCAGCCACTCCTCGGAAACCCTATACAGGGTCACTATGAGTCAGAACCGACTCCATGGCACTTAACAATGTAACATATTGGAAAAGTTGGTCATAGGTACTTCATAGGCACCAGCCTTGTAATGATCCTTCTAAGAGAAATTATTCCTGCTGTAGTAAAGAGCATTTTTCATCTGTGTGGCTGATCCCATGATAAGCATGTCATAAATATACTTCTATAAACCAAAATTAGATGAGAGGCGATCTGCACTCTATCTAATGGGTGAAGTTAATGTCTTATAAAATTAGAGGGCAATCAGCACAGTTTTGTTACTGATAGATGTTGTTGTTAAGTGTCACCGAGTCGGTTCCGACCCATAGCGACCCTGTACAGGGTTTCCGAGGGTGTAAATCTTTACGGGAGTAGAAAGCCTGATCTTTCTCCCACGGAGCAGCTGGTAGTTTCGAACCGCTGACCTTAAGGTTCGCAGCCAGATTCGTAACCACTACGCTATCAGAGCTCCTTAGTCTTTAAAAATTTTAAATTGTTATAAAATCATTTAGATTAACATTGCTGTTAAATGCTGTAATAGCTACCCTGTATCGGGTTTCCAAGACTTTAAATCTTTGTGGGAGCAGAAAGCCTCATTTTTCTCCAGTGGAGCAGCTGGCAGGCTCTAACCTTGGACCTTTGTGTTTCGCAGTCCAGTGCTTATCATATCATAATCATATGGAGCTACTGCGCTCCTCTAGATTAACATACCAAATTATTACCAAAACAGTAGAGAATGTTTACACTTTAAGTGAATACTATGATATGATTACATTTAACTGAAATTCTGGAACAGGAAAAACCTACCTTTGGTGAAATCAGTCCAAATAGTGGTTCCTTGCATTGCTGCGGTGGTGGTGTTTTAAGTGCCAGTGAGTCGGTTCCAACTCATAATGACCCTGGTATAGGGTTTCTGAGAAGCAGCTGGTAGGTTTTAACTGCTGACTTTGCTTTTCAAACTGACCTTGAGGTCCAGTGCTTATCGTCTTGTTACCTCAGGACTCCATTGGTGGGGAGAAGAAATAATGGAACTATTCTGTATCTTGATGGGGTGTGGGTTACTTAGATATTGTGAAGTGCCGTCGAGTCGACTCCGACACATAGCGACCCTGTGTAGGGTTTCCAAGGAGCAGCTGGTGAGCTTGAACCACCGACCTTGCAGATCAAATGACTTTGCAGTCTGAGGCATTAGCCCACAGCGTCACACCAAGTATTCAATTATCTTGTAGCTGCATTTATCCACAAACTTTTTGAAGCCTTCTCTTAGATGTTTGTCAAAACTCATAACTGGGCACAACAGAACTTATACTGTTTTACTATATATAAATTGTACTCCTGGTGTGGTACTGCATGATAATTTATTTTTCCCTCTAGATCACACAAAAACAAACCTTTTTGGATTGCCCTCTGCAGAAAGATCTCAAACACACCTAGTCTCTTTTCACTGGAATCTATCACTTAATAATAAAAAGGTTATCATTAGGCCCATAAATAATGCCAAATGTTATTTTTAAGGACATCCATTTCCTGGATAAATTTAGTACCTAACCACAAGGTCAGATGTTGAAACCTACCAACTCTGCTCCTTGAAAACCCTATACAGAATTGCTATGAGTTAGAACTGACTAGGTGGCTTACCACCACCACCATTCACATTAGAGAGCAGTTAACAAATGATAAACAATAAGTAAAATATTTACCTGTTTCTCTTCATCTGACATATCTTTTTCCAGTTCTATGAGGTATTCTTCATCTAGTTCAGAGGAATTTACATCATCAGGTTTGTCCTCTGCCTTATCTACTCCTGGTTCCTCCTTGTCAAATGAGTCGCTGCAATCATGAAAGCACTCCTCTTCTCCCTGGTCTTCCTGGGGATGGGCTTGAACATCTTTGAGAGATGCTTTGCTCTGGGAATGCTCATCTTTGGGATTAGAAACTGTAGGGCTGACATACTCTGAGTCCTGAGGATCTGTAACCTTCAAGCCATTGATCATATTTTCTGGAACTCTGCAGTTCTCTGATTTCTCCCCCATGCTGGTGGATTCAGTGGGGGAGATGAGGCTGAGGTTCTGAAAAGAGGAGAAAGTATGATATGTTAGTATTTATATTAAAAAAAATTTTTTTTTTTGCCCTGTAGATCACACCACAACAAACCCTTTGGCAATGCCCTCTGCAGAAAGGGCTCAAATACGTCATAGTTTCTTTTCCCTTGAATTCATCACTTAAAAATAAAAAGGTTATCACAAGTTCATAAACCATGCCAGACATTATTTTAGAGAACACCCATTTCTTGGACAAATGTAGCACCTGAAACTTTGTATGCAACTAGACACCAATACTGGAGTTCAAGGTTTAAAGCACTGCACTGCAAAGTTGGCATGAACCACAAGGTTGGTTGTTCAGGCTCACCAGCCACTCCTTGAAACCCTATACAGGGTCGCTAACGGTCGGAACCAACAGGTTGGCACTTAACTTAAAAGAGACCGATATTAATGCAACTTTTCTACCTTTCACCATTATTTTGTGGAGCAGGGAAAACAAGCATATGTTAAATCACTGGCAAGAAAAGTGAAATAGACCATTCTCTATTTAGTTAGTATAATTGGTTGTGAAAAAGACACTGCGAACTGTCATTCTAGTACCACTACTCTGTAAGTTCAGGAATGAGTTTCTAGTGGTATGTGCCGTGGAGTTGATTCTGACTCATAGTGACCCTGTATAGTTTCCGAAGCAGAAAGCCTCATCTTTCTCCGGTGGACAGCTGATAGTTTTGAACTGCTGACCTTGAGGTTAGCAGCCTGACTCATCCTCACTATGCTACCAGAGCTTCTAGTGGAGCTCAAAACAATCCTTGTCAAAAGCATCAACTTAACCTAAATACGCGTGGTACGGCCCACACAGGTTATAGCGGAAGGGAAGCTCTGGCATAGGTTGTCCTAATAAAAATCTCCACGGGTGTCGGAATAAGGTATGCATGATTATCAATCCTGGTTGCACAACAAAACACGTTTTAGGATATACATAACCAGAACTCTACCCACCACCAAACCTAAATGAATTTGTCTAGTGTCGGGCCGGGACATCTGTATTTTATTTTATTTTTTAAAGCTTCCCAAGTGATTTGAATGTGCAGTCAATTGAGAATCACTGCTCTAAAAGCTGAGTCAGACCATCAGCAATCCTACCCCAACCCGCCAACTAAACGCGAATACGGCTCTAGTGCAGTGACAAAAGACGAAATTAGTTTTAGGTCGTCGAACGAAGAACGAAAACAGCAAGATCATACGTAGTATAGAGACTTCGCCTCCCAAGTGTTACCGTGTTCTTCCCTGCTTCTAACTCTATCGGAGGGTCTCAGGAATTTGGATTATTAAGGTTAGGAAGGTGCTACGCCACTATTCCCACAGATCACCTCCTAGCTGCATTGCTCACCGCCAAGCTGCCAGCTCCAGGAAGCCACTCACAGGTTTTCCGGAGCTCTCGGTCCCGGCCACTGAAAACCCCTACTTCCGCACAGTCAGGTGCATTTCCGTCGGCGCCGACCAATGGCGTTTGCTGGCAAAGCATTCTGGGAAATGTAGTGTCTACGTTGGGAAGGGGGGGTGTGTGTCGCCGTCGCTGTGCCGTCGCTGTGTGACGTCACTGTACGAACTGAATTATGAGTAGTGGTTGCCATCTTGGATTACTGTCAGGCTCAGTGTTTTCTCAGCACAAGAGACCCCCCCCCGCAAAAAAAGAAAGAAAAGCTGTCCCTGTCCCTATGTTGTTCTCTTACCGTTTTCACTCTGACCTCTCTCAGACTAGTAATGTATAGAAGAATCCTGAAGCAGAAACGTCTAAAAGTAAATCTTTCCCTCCACTGGTTGTCAAAGTGTGTCTTTCAAGTTGTTCATGGAGAGATAAAATCCATTTACATAATAATACTAAGATTTTTGTTGTTGTTACTTTCGCCCCATTCATTTTTCTCAAGAATTTACAGTGAATTTTCAATTTTCTCAAGAATGTACAGTGGAATATATAGTCCATGTGTCTCGTGATAGCACAATGAATTGAATACAGAGGACATATAAAAGTCCAGAGGAGCTCTGGTAGCGGTTACGAATCGGGCTGGGAACCGCAAGGCCAACAGTTCGAAACTACCAGCTGTTCCGCTGGAGAAAGATGAGGTGTTCTGCTCCCGTAAAGATTTACAGCCTCGGAAACCCTGTACAGGGTCGCTATGAGTCGGAACCGACTCCATGGCACATAACCACCATCATAGAAGTCCAACTTACTTCTATAAAGACAGATTTGCAAAAATACAGGATAATGGCACTATTCTTGATATATATAAAAATATTTGTTTGTTTCATTTTTTTATTGTGATGAAAATATGCAGAGTAACCCCCAGCCCTATTGCTATCCTATAGGGTTTCCAAGCTGTAAATCTATATGGTAGCTTATTGCCACATCTTTCTCCTGCTAAGCTTACTGGTGGGTTAAAACGCTTACTTTTTGATTATAAGTGCAGCGCTGCACTTCACAGGAGCCAGCATGCACAACAAAACCTTCACCAACTGAACAATTTTCATATGCACAATTCTGTGCCATTGGCTGCTACCCTTTTCCAAATCATGCCACTACCATTAACATAAACTCAGCACCTTCTAAGCATAAAAGACTCCTTTTCCACCTCTCTCTCAACCCCTGGTAATCACTAATAATCTTTGGTTTCTATACAAACATATTTGCTTACCTCATCTAAGTGAAATGATAGAGTGTCCTCTTGCGACTGACTTATTTCACTCAGCATAATGTTTTCAAGCTTCATCCATTTGGTGGCATGCATCATCAGAACTTCATTTCTCTTTATAGCTGAGTAATTATTTTCCATTTATGTGTATACCAAATTTTATTTATCCATTTATCTGTTGATGAAAATTTTATTCTGATACCTCGAGGGAGACTCAGAACAAGTTAAATTTTATCAGGGTCAAGAAGGGTGAAGACAAGACAAGTTTTGGAGAACCTGACCAGATCAGATGGACACATACAGCAGACCTGACTGACTGGTACCTGAGTAACCTCACCTTCAGGGCTCTTTGCCAACTGAAGGACTAAATTGTTAATATCTGAGCCATTAGGACACCTGCATGCACAACAAAACCTCCACCAAATCAATTTTCACATGTACAATTCATAAAATGACTTTGACCACTATCCTATGGACTGGTAAAATGATTGGGAGGGTGGAGATAATTCCTTCAAGTATGAAAAGGGAGTGGTCTTTACTCCATTCGGTGATGTATTGTAAATCCTAGCCTCTATGCCTGTGATTATGGATACATAATGAGGCACTATTCCACTACATGTCTGTCAGTTCGTCTTCCTATGGTGGCTTGTGTGTTGCTGTGATGCTGGAAGCTATGCAACAAGTATTTTAAGTACCAGCAGAGTCAGAGGTTTCAGCAAAGATTTCAAATTAAGACAGACTAGGAAGAAGGAGAGGAGGACCATAGTCACTGAAAAGAGCTGCAAACATCCATTAGTAATTGGAAGGTGGAATGTTAAAGGCATTTGAGTGTGTGGATCATGATAAGCCATATATAACATGGCTATTACAGTGAGGCAGGCAGACCAGATGAATTAGGTGATGGCCCCCATGTCCTCCAGGCTCACCGCTCATTCCTGGAACAAGATTCACATTCCAGGAAATAAGCAACAGACCACCTAGCCTCATGTGATTACCTAAGCTAATTTCCTGTTCCTGACCCCCTCTGGGAGGAAACAGAGCCCCCAGCTAATATTTACCTGCTTCCACTTCTGTAACTGCTTACTTGTATGCTCATACATCCTTCACCACCATGTTTGAACTAACCAATCCCAGGTAGCCCCATGAAGCTGTTGGCCCCCTGTAACCAATCCCAAAATTAAAAAAGGTGTGCGTCCAGGTTGTATTCTTTCACCATACTTATTCAACCTGTATGCTGAGCAAATAATCCCACAAGCTGGGTTCTATGAAGAAAAACGTGGCATCAGGATTGGAGGAAGACTCGTTAACAACCTGTGATATGCAGATGATACAACCTTGCTTGCTGAAAGTGAAGAGGCCTTAAAACATTTACTGATGAAGATCAAAGAGCACAGCCTTCTGTATGGATTACATCTCAATGTCAAGAAAACAAAAATCCTCACCACTGGAGCAATAAACAACATTCTTATCAATAGAGAAAAGATTGAAGTTGTCAAGGACTTCATTCTTCTTGGATCAACTATCAACACTCAATGAAGCAGCAGTCAAGAAATCAAATGTATTGCATTAGGCAAATCTGCTGCACGAGACCTTTTTAGAAGTGTTGAAGAGCAAAGATGTCAGCTTGAGGACTAAGGTGCTTCTAACCCAAGCCATGGTATTTCCAATGACCTCATATGCATGTGAAAGCTGGACAGTGAATAAGGAAGACTATAGAAGAATTGATGCTTTTGAGTTATGTTGGAGGAGAATATTGAAAGTGCCATGGGCTGCCAAAAGAACCAATAGATCCATTTTGGAAGAAGTGCAGCCAGAGTGCTCCTTGGAGGCCAAAATGGCCAAACTTTGTCTCTCGTACTTCGGACATATTGTCAGGAGGGACCCGTCACTGGAGAAGGATATCATGTTTGGGAAGGTGGAGGGTAAGGGAAAAAGAGGAAGACCCGCAACGAGATGGATTGGCCAAGTGGCAGCATTGTTGGACTCAAGCGTGGCAACAGTAGTGAGGTTGGCCCAGGATTGGGCAGTGTTTCGTTTTGCTGTGCATAAGGTTGCTATGGGTTAGTACTAACTTGATGGCACCTAACAATAACAACCATCCCAAATGAACTCCTGTATGCACCCCCTATTCCCTATAAAATATCCTCACATAGGGAAGATGCTAGCACTGAGCCACATGCTAGCACATATAAAGGTCCTTTCTTTGTTACAACCCATGTGGCATTGGCAACTCCTTCAGAGTGACTCCAGTAACAACAGAACACTTAATTGTGCTCATGAGGAATGGAACAGACCAAGAGACAATTGTTTGAACAGAACAAAGTGATAC